CTTTGAAATCCAGGTACCTTTTGCGACCTGCAGTTTCCTGGCTCCTCCTTCTCTGGCCATAGCCCTCAAAGACTCTTGCAGGTCTGCGCAGGCCCGAGGGATGGTGCTGCGGGGCATGGAGGCTGGAACTTATGCAGGACAGGGTCTCCTCCTGCCTGGATCTGAGAATCTCCCACTGCCCGATTCAGCAGAGGGAATGTAGGCCAACCCCTTACTCCGCAGTGGTGCAGAGAGGCTGTCCAAGGTCACCCTCTGCCTTGGGTCTTCATTTCCCACCGTGTGACTCCTCCCATGGCCCACCTCCTCCAGTGCGTATGCCCTTCTCTGTGTGGGTTTACGTGGGGGCTCTGAGACCCCTGCTTGCTGCTGAGTGAGGCTCTAGATCTTCCCAGATCTTCCCAGGTATGTCTCTCACTTCCCACATCAGACCAGTATAGCAAAGTCATTGGGTTCAAGCACGAGATGTATGTCTGCACCAGGGCCTGTGCTCCCGCCTGGTCCCAGAGGATTGGACACTTCTGTCGGTACTGCCCAGGGCACGCCCCACGGCCTCAAGCTGGGCCCAGCTCTGCTCGGTTGACCCCGGTGGGGACGAATGGAGATGGGGGTGCCGCTGCAGGGGCTGGTAATGTGGAGGGTGATACTGAGTGATCAGTTTCAGCTAGGGGGGACCCCTGCATCCACCCCTCCTGCGTCCTGGCAGCAGCTGGCAAGACAGAATAGAGACCGCCACACCAGGTGACTCTGCTGAGGGTGCGTGGGTGATGACCTTGGCTTTTGTCTCCAGAGCAGTGTGGTGCATCAGTAATTAAGAGGGATGATCATGATTTGTGCCTTTCCAAGGTGGTGATTAAGCAAAAATAGCCTCCATTCTTCAGTTGCCAGGAGGAGCCATGGCGCTCCGGGTGGGCCACCCGGGCCCGTGCCGGGACTGGCAGGGGCGCTGGAAGCAGGCACTGTGGTAGCTGGCCTGCCTCAAAGTTTGTCACAAAACGTTGTCACAAAAACAGCTGTGGGCTCCCCCATCCTGTATTATCTGGGCGTGACAGGGACCAACCTGAATAGGGTTACTCAGACAGAAATGAACAGGAAGCGGGCCTGGTATGTGGCTCCCCACCAACCAGGACCCCTGCCAGTGGATCTCGTCACCAGAGGCTCATGGGGGCCTGTAGACATGGAGCCACCAAGTGCAGGCCAAGCTGTTCCAGAATTCCCAGAGGTTCCCTGATACGGTTTCTGCGGGGACGTCTAAGAAACGTGCTTCCCAAGGGTGAGGCCCCCCAGAACCGCCTGCTCCCGGGGCATTGGCCGCAGAGAGCTGTCTCACAGTCGCTGAGCCCTGGGTCTTCACTTGCAGTGAGTTGTCATCAAAATGCCACACAAAGCCCCAACAGCCCCAACCCTGCTCCCAGGAGGCCACAGTCTGATGGGGAAATTGACAAGTCACCTCCCAGCAGGGAGCCAGGCCCTGCGCAGCGTGCTGTGGGGTAACCATCTCTAAGGAAGTAGATCTGAGAAGGCTTTCCAGAGGTGGTGACGGCTGAGCAGGGTTTTGAAGGACAGGTGGGAATTTGCCGGTCTGCGAAGGGAGGAAGGGCTTAGCAGGCAGAGGGCTCAGGATGAGTAAGGGCACAGAGGAGTGGAAGAGTAATGTCTTGTGGATGAGTCAGAGCCGTGGCCTTAGTCGTTGAGGTGATGATGTCTGGTGCTTGGAGAGCAGGGCCCTTGTGGGCATGGCGCCTGCGGGAGCCCCCTAGGCTGCCTCTCTGCTTGTCTATGGAGGGTCCAGCCAAGACCAGAGAGTACCTTTCAGTGGGGCAACTTGGTCCTGTCAGTTAACTCTCTAGGGGCCAGAATCTAGATCTGGCTGGCTAGGGCTCCCCTCTTCCCTTTCCCAGCGCAAAGCATCTCTGGCTTTTGTTCACTGAAAGGAAGCAAGGCTCCTCCCCAAACAGCACAGGAGGCCAGACCCTTCCCTCTGCTAGGGAAGGGGGAAGGGGTGCTGAGGACACCCTGCCAGTCTCCCATCCCCACTGAGCCAGGAGCTGCTTCAGCATAACTTATGGCCAGGATACAGCCCTTGTTCACTGATTTGATGCCCAGAGCATCGCGCAGGCCCCTGGGAAACTGGCCGCAGGTGGATTAAGGATGTGGGGGCTCCTTGGTCTGTGTAATCAGAGGGGGTGCAGGATGAGGCCCCCACCTAATGGAGGGCTTGGTGCCCGGGAGATGGCAGGACCCACATGTCTTCCCTGCAACTTATTTATAGCCTTGCTATGGTAATTTGTGGCAATCACAGTATTTAATCCTGTAATCACGCTGCGAGCAGGCTCCCCGGTGCAAGTAGGCACCCAGCCCAGCGAGGCCGGGGAGCCTGCCAGGGCTGAGAGAGGACTTGGGGACAGGGCCGGAGAGTGTGGAAGCGGCAATGTCCCCAGCAGCCTTGGGCCAAATATTATCATCTGTGGCCCTGTGTCCCTCAGTGTACCCTGGATGATGATGAAGAGGAGGAGAAGGAGGAGGAGGGTGAAGATAATACTTATATAGTGTCTACTATGTTCCAGGTCCCATTCTAAGCCCTCCCTATATATGAACTCATTTATTCTCATCACCATTCCAAGAGGTGGCTGCGGTAGTTATCCCCATATTCCAGATGGGGATACAGAGCTGCAGATAGCTGATAAGAGCCACAATTTGAACTCAGGCATTCTGGCTCCAAAGTCCCTGGTTGGTACTTGGTCCCTCTGAGCCCCAGAAGTCAGGGGCCTTCCTGGCTCCGGATCCACGGACACGGCCCTGCCAGCTCTGGGTTCTCCTGGCCCACCAGCCCCGCAGCAGCACACGCAAAGCCCTGCTCGGCTTCCCTCCTGGACGCTCACTTTCCTGCTTGCCACCTGGTCTCCATGGCAGACCTGGACTTCAGTCTATTAGAGGTCCCTCATCAATCTGCCCTGTTTCTTCTGCAGAATGAGGATTTTTGTGTCCAGTTCCCCAGGAAGCTGCGGAGGTCGGGCGGATAAGGGAGCACTTTGTCAAGCATTGTCTTCTGTTGAGTGTGGGGCACTCTTACCTGGTCCCTGTGCCAGCTCACCAGTCTGCTCATCTGTGTTGCCTGGGCCCAGTGACTTAGGTTGTGTGGGCCTCGGTTTTCTCATTTGTAAAATGGGGTTAATAACAAGAGGACCAACACTCAGAGGCTTCTTGTGGGGACCAGATGAGAGGACACCTGTGCAGCACGTAGTGCCCGGGACACGTGCACTCAGTAAAATGGAGCCATCTGTTGTTGTTTATTTGGATCCTGCCCTGAGGGCAGGGCCTCTTCTAGCCAAGTCCAAGGCAAGGCCTACAGGATGTCAGCAGCAAGGCAGAAAGCCTGGGCTGCTGGAAGGAGAATTGGGAAGTGCTGGGCAGAGCCAGGCCTCAGTACAAGTTTTCCCTCTTCCTCCTCCAAGCCAGAGTCCTCCATCACTCAGGAAACGATTTCCTGTCTGTGTGGGAAGCAGCTGCGAGTTTATCAAGCAGTTACCCTTAGACCAGGGTTGTGTCTGTGAGGACAGACGGTTTCAGAGATGCGCCCCCCTGCTGAGGAAAGCTTCTCACTCGGAATTCCTTCAGAGGCACCCTCCCCTGGGGTCAGCAGTGGCCGAGGGCTGTAGACTCAGGCACCCGTGGGCCAGGGCTCCCACCCACACCTACTGCAGGGTTGCCTGCAAAGCCTGTTGGGAGAACCCTCTCCCAGTGGGCTTGCTGGCAGGGTGCAGCGGGCACCTGGCAGGGGGTGGGTGTGAAGTGAGAAGAAGGAAAGGGCCATCCTCACCTGGAACTGGCTGCTTTAAGAGATGAGTTCCCTGTCACTGCAGGCAAACAAGTGTTTTACAGTGTAGCTGTGAGGTTTAGCCACACAGAGAAAGTGGTACCCTTCTCATGGGCAAAGAGGAGAGGAAGCAAGGTCAGCTCAGCTGAAGGGTTCCTCACTTTCTCATGGTGGCAGCATCATTGGGTAGGCAGTGGGGGGCCATCAAGTGTCTTTGGGGTCTCTCTCCATCCGAGAGTCCAAAGCGGCCTTGCATCACCTGGTCCAAGTTCAAGTCCTGAGCTGTTGCTTGACCTAGGTCCCGGCTGCTGCTGGGGCTGCCAGGTCCCAGAGAGGAAGCCTCTGGCCATAGGTTTTCTGTGGTGGGAGAAAACTCATCATCTTTGATGACAGGCCAGGTATTAGATCGGGGTCAATAAGCTTTTCTTTAAAGGGCCAGATAGTAAATATTTTAGGCTTTGTGGGCTATAAAAAGTCTCTGTGATGCATAAGCAGCCACAGATAATGCGTAAATGAATGGGCATGGCTGTGTTCCAATAAAACTTTATTTACAGAAACAGGCAGTGGGCCAGATCTGGTCCATGACTGTAGTGTCTGTGTTGAAAGAATATGAGCTCAGGGAGGGTTGGATGCCAAGAAGCACTTCCTGGAGGTGGAGGCGGTGAGCCCAGGCAGCTGAGAGAAGCGAGAAGAGCATTTCTGGCAGCTGGCTGGCCTCGCCCCAGGGCTCGAGGGGGATGAGTGATGAGGAGTGCGGTCCCAATGCCCGCCGTACCGCTGAGGGCCCACCTTCCCCTGGATGGGGTGCCTGTAATTCAGAGCCTCGCTATGTCTGATATCTCGTAAACATATTGAGTGATTTTTTTAAAATCTGGCAACTGTAGTTGTTGGATGCTTGGCCCAAATTTCTCCCATTACTGGAGGTGGAAGCCGTTCGACGACCCTTGTACTGTGGCCACTGTTGAAGGGAAGCAGGACCGGTCCTTTCTAGGATGCGCCTGCTGGCCCCCAGGACCGCATCCCTGATGGCCTCATCCCGCATGTCTTCTTTTTTTAGGCGGAGAAAGGGTTTCACGTGGCTGAGTCTGGAGGCAAGGGCCCGGCCGGGTGCCTCCACAGCTCTAGAAGCTGTCGTTTTGTGGGCCGTGCTTCTCGCCAGCTGAGTTCCCCTCTGTTCCCACCACAGGAGAGCTGTACCGAGTTTCCTTGAGAAGACAGAAGTTCCCGGCCCAGGGCAGCATTGAGATCCACGAGGACAATGAGGTGGGCTGGCTTCCCGGGGTCGTGGGGGCCCCTGCTGCGCTCAGGGTTTTAGGAAGAGCCCGGGGTGGGCAGGCTGTCTGGTTTCCATCCAGCTCCTCCTCTGACTTGCTGTGTGACCCTGGGCAGCGTCCGGTCCTGCTCTGGGCTTCTGGCTCCCATAGGAACAAGGAGGGCCTCTTGGGACCCCTCCTGCTGGGACACTGAGGGGCTTCCCTCCTGGCAGTCTGTGTCCCCATTCCAAATGCACAGGAGGTCCCAGCCCATGGGGGCTGAAGAGGTCCCCAAGGCTGGGCATGGTACCTGCTTCTCTGGCCACATCGTGTGAGTGTGTGTGTGTGTGTGTGAGTGTATGTGTGTGTGTGTGAGATTCACTGTGCTGCTCCTCCCCCACCCTATCTCCCTGCTGCCTGGGTCTTTCTGTCCCCGCTGGCGTCCCTTCCAGGAAGTCGGCCCTCAGCGCTCCTGCAAGACGCACGTCCTGCTGCTGGTGCTGCACGGGGGGAACATCCTGGACACCGGCTCGGGGGACCCATCCTGTAAGGCTGCCGACATCCGCACCTTCAGCTCCGTGCTGGAGAAGGTCACGCGTGCCCACTTCCCTGCGGCCCTGGGTCACATCCTTATCAAGTTTGTCCCCTGTCCTGCCATCTGCTCTGAGGCTTTCTCACTGGTCTCCAAGTGAGTCCCTTTCTGTTTGCTGGGCCTGAAGGGCACTGGTGGTCGGGGCACTAGGTGGAGGGACTGTTCCTGCCGTATGGGCACCTGGTGGGTAGGGGCGTACCTGTCCCGCCTCTCTGACCTTGAGTGTCACCGGTGGGAAGTGGTCAGCAAGACGTCACCAGCACTGTGCCCTGAGTTCTCCCCGGCCTGGGACCAGGTGGTGCCCGGCCCCTGTGGCAGCTCAGATCCACTTCAGTGCTCAGAGGCCCTGGTCTCGCTGGTCCAGGTGAGGGAGCTGGGGCCCTGCGGGATGAGTGGGGTTTTCTCCAGGGTTATCCAGCAACTGGCGCCAGGGGTCCCGCCCGGGCAGCCTCACTCCCAGGCCACATGATTATGGCCCAGGAGGCCAGTGTGCTCCGACGGAGCTGGCACAGGGTGCTGAGGACACTCGGGGCCCAGGAGGCTTCCCGGAGCAGTGACGTGGTGTGTGCTGCGAGAGTAGCAGAATGAGGTGAAGTATGTGTCAGCCTGGATCTGAGCTCTGGCTGTGCAGCCTGGGGGCAGCTATGTAGCCCTCCCCTCTGTTTCCTTGTCGGTGAACACTCAGGAGGTAACCGCCTCCTAGAGGGTTTTGTGGGGTTTTTTTTTGAGGATTCTGGGTGCTAGCCTATGGGAAGCACCTGGCATAGCGTGGGGCACAGAGAAAGCACCTCGTGGGGATTCTCTGTGACACCTCATTGTCCTCACAGGGGAGAAGGTGCTCTCTCCATTGGGGGACAGGGCTGGGGAGGGAGGTGTTCCTGGTTTCCAGTGGAGAACCTGGATGTCAGGGGTGAGGCAGCATGCTTACCACGTCCGGGTTCTCCATCCAAACCTGCCCTGGTCCCTGTGGGGGTTAACTGGGAGACCAGGGGCCCCACCAGCACCTGGGGGCCCATGGGAGACCCCACCCACTGCTCCAGGATCAGTGGGCTCTGTGCTCCCCAGGTCCCTGACCTCTTAAAATAGCCGGGAGCCAGAGGGGGATGTCAGGAGCCAGGGGGAGCCCTGGCTGCTCACAGGTAATGAGGGCAAAGGAGGCCCGACCCCTGCAGAGGGTGTGTCTCAGGGAGCCTGCGGCAGACACGGGAAGACTGGAAGCCGGGAACTTTCTGCAGTTAGGGAGGAAAGGGAGGCCAGAGACACCTCTGTCCTGCCCCTCAGTCTCTTTCACGTCGACATTGCCAGAATCTTGAGGCTTCGAAGAGAGGAGCCCTTATCCAGGTGGCGGCTGGGGCAGGGTACACAGGGCGTCCCAGCTGTGGCCATGGACAGGACTCAGCATTGCTGGGGGGGGGGGCAGGTGCAGGAGGCCCATCCTCAGCTTCCTGCTGGGTGGGGGAGCTCAAGTGGAGGGCCCGCCAGGCCTCACTTACTTTTCTGGTCTGTGAAAGGAAGGGTTGCCTCTGCCCAGGGAGCAGAGACCTGCCTGCGGTTTATCTGTGCCCCAGGCCACAGGCAGGACAGATCTCAGTCGGAGCTGGAAGCAAGGAAGGAGGTTAGGTTAGTAGGTCCCCAGCCTGGCTAAGGGCCCAAATGCCAATGGGATTCTTGTTAAACCACAGGGCTGCAGGCCTCACCACTAGGGTGTCTGCACCGGGTGGGGCAGTCTAGGGCCAAACCGCCCTGAATGCCTGCTCTCGTCTGAATTGGGCAGGGTGGGCAGGGCCCTGGAATCTGCTTCTTATCAGGTTGATCTGCTTTGTGTGTCTGCCCTGCAGCAGGATTCGGGAGCTGAGCTGGTGTGGCTCCAGTCCCTTCACACTCCAACAGCCGGAGTCAATTGGGCTCATTCATAATCTGTCTCGGGATCCCCCTAACGCCTGGCCCCCGGGACATCTGACTCCCCGAGCTGGGTCACCCAGTCCAGGCCCGATCTCTAGGAAGATGGATGGCCTGACCACTGAAGGGGACAGCGAGGGGATAGCGGGAAGGCGCGTACTCTCCCCCAGGCAGAGCCTTGCCAGGCCATCCGTCAGCCCTAATCACTGCTGGGAGGGAGCTCTTTCTCCGCTAATTAAAACCTCTCAGCAGCAATGGAGGCCTGTTTCCTCTAATTTGTGCTCTGTGGAGACGAGGAATGGCTGTTAGGCTGGCCTTGAACACCACGAGGTCTCTGTCACCTGCCCAGGGTCCCTGAGCCCTGTCACCTGAGCTTAGGCTGTGGGGAAAGGGCAGGCTCTGGGCAGAGGTTGGGCAGTCTGTCCCCCTGTGGTCCCTCCTGGCCAGCAGGGTCTGATGCCCTAGGGGACACAGGTAGGACGGGTGAGGCGGGCAAAGGGGCAGGCGGCTGGGAGCTGGGCCCTGGTGCGTCTGAGCCACCAGTGGGGAGGCAGGGAAGTGAGGGCGGGGGTGCGTGCAGGGGCTGGACAATCCACGAGTGGTGGGAATGGGACAGGGCAGGCTCTCCTCGTCCTCTCCCGAGCCACAGATCTTCCTGCAAGTCCCCTGAAGGCTCTAGGTCCTGGTCCCAGAAAGACGGGCACGGTGCCCAGCCACAGCTACACGCCTCCTGAGACTGCAGCACCCCTGGCACACCCTCCCCTCCTTCCCACTTTCCCCACGGCCTTCCCTGAGGCCTGGTTCAAGCCCCACCTCCTCTAGGAAGTCCGTCATGACCCCACGTCCCCTCCCTGATCCATACCAGTGGCTTCCCCCACGGTCGGGGTGCTCTTCGGCGCCACGCAGAACAGGGCAGGAGAGAGCTGCTGTCACAGGGACTCCAGAGCCCGCCTTGCGGGCTGGTAGGAGGTGGACACGAGGGAGTCAGCACTGGCTCATCGCCCCATGCCTGTGCTTTGTCTGCTGACTGGGTCCTCAGGAGGGGTCCGGAGCGGACGGCCCAGCTCCCTTTTGCCCAGTCCGAAGGCCCAAACCCTCCCAAACCCACTGCCGTGCTGACCCCAGTGGGGCTCACCTTGGTCCCCTGTCTGCAGCCTGAACCCCTACAGCCACGATGAGAGCTGTCTCAGCAACAGCCAGGACCACGTCCCTCTGGCCGCGCTGCCCCTGTTGGCCATCTCCTCCCCACAGTACCAGGATGCAGTTGTCACCGTCATCGAGCGAGCCAACCAGGCCTACGCAGAGTTCCTCAAGTCTCCTGATGGCATTGGCTTCAGTGGGCAGGTAGGACAGCCTGCTCCCTCCACCTCGTCTTGGCCCCACCTGGAGAGGGGCTTGGATCTGCCCAAAGGATCTGGACCTTTGGATCTAGACCAAAGGATCTAGGCTGTTCAGGATCCATGGTTTCGGAGGCCCAAGGAGGCTTTGGCAATCTTTGGCTTTGTCCTCGTTTTACAGATAGGAAAATGGAGCTCAACATCTCCGTTCTGATTGTCAGCCCAGACTGGCTCCCTGGCCCCCGTCTGACCCCTGACCCTGGCCTGGCTCCTGTCCTTGGGTTGACCCTGGCCTTAGTCTGACCCCAGCCCTAGTCTGACCCTTGACACCAGCCTGGCTTCTGTCCTCAGGCTGACCCTGGCCCCAGAATAAGCCCTCTGCCCGCTGCAGGGGCTCTCTCAGGCCTCCTGGGATAGGCTCCTCGTTCTCCAGGTGACCTGTGCTCTGGATGGGTGTGGGGGTGAGGGGTCAGCAGAGGCCAGGCCCGCAGTCCCAGCCGTGCCTTCTCCAGGTGTGTCTCATCGGGGACTGTGTGGGGGGCCTCCTGGCCTTTGATGCCATCTGCTACAGTGCGGGGCCCTCAGGCGACAGCCCAGGCAGCAGCAGCCGGAAAGGGAGCGTCAGCAGCACTCAGGTGCGGCCAGGGAAGGGTGGGGATGGGGGAGGGGTTTGTCCTTGGGAGCAGGGGCCTCTCGGGGGTGGTTAGTGTTAACCTTTAACACTGGCACCGTGAAGTCCAGGTTACAAAGTGTGGCATCATGATCTCACCAGAGGAGCAAGAGATTACTACCACAGTGAGGAGAGCGAGGCCCAGAGGGGCTAATTTGGGGTTGGGCCCCCAGACAGCTGCCCCGGGCCCCACCGAGTCGCTGGTCTCTGGGGATGCAGGAGACAGCCCTGTGACCAACCTCAAACTGCGACTGTGTTGTGGCTGTCATGCTTCTTTTGGAAGAGGTGTCGTCTCTCACGTCTAGAAGAAAGGGGTCACTTGTGACTGGGGGAGGAGGCAGGGCCCCAGAGTCTGCAGTGACTGCAGTGCCGCCCGTTCTCCCCTCGGTCCCAAAGGACAGCCCGGTTGTGGGGGAGGAGGAGTGCAGTCTGGCCGGCAGCAAGCGGCTCAGCAAGAGCAACATCGATGTGTCCACCGTGTTGGAGGATGAGGAGCCCAAGAGGCTGTTGCCACGGAAACAGAGTGATTCTTCTACCTATGACTGTGAGGCCATCACCCAGCATCACGCCTTCCTATCAAGGTAACCACTCCCTGTGTCCCACCGTCCTGCAAAGTGTCTAGAGCAGAGAGCACCTTGGCTTAGAATCACATGAGTGGCTTAGGACCAGCCCTATGTCCCGAGTCCTTCTATGGGAGCTCCTAGGCAAGTGCTGAGACCAAGGCCACTCCCCATGGGCCCTGGGCTGAGACCCAGGACCCTGCACTCTGTCTCTGCTCGCCCAGCTTTCAGAGAGAGGGGTCAGTCAGTCTCACATCCCCGAGCCTCAGTTTCACCTTCTGCAAAATGGCAAATGCTGCCCAGCCTGCTTCACTGCTGGTTTTGGGAAACTAGTGAAAGAAGAGGTGTGTTGTAAGTGCGTTTGTGAGCTACTCCAGGTGTGTGTTCCTATTATTTTCTCGGATGAGGCAATACAGATGAGCTAAGTCAGGACCCTTCCTGGGGCCACATAACCAGAGCTGGGACCAGCACACGCACACTTGTACTCGAAGACCAGGCAGGACCCTCCACGGAAAGTCCACTCTTTAACCTCCTGAGGAGACTTGCTCACCAATACGGGCTACCTGAATTATGTGCACATTCATTCAGGGTGCACAGGGGCATTGGGCCTAGACCGGAACCAGAAGGGGTGCCTCCCAGTTCTGTCCCCCTCCTTTCTCACCCCGGCGGTGAGCACCATGAGGTTGGCTCTGCATGTGGAAAATAGACCATCAGTATATGTATTTTTTACATGCTTTGCATTTCGTTTTGCTTAAAAAAACCCTTATATGGTGATCTTTTCCTCATATAATTAAAAATACTTGGTAGATATTCTTAACAATATTTTGTTGAGTAAATGGAGAACATTTGGACACTTTGGCTGTTTCCCGTTCTTCAGAACTATAAATAGCACTCTGGTGGCCATCTTTGTGCACAGACACGCACGCATGTGTCAGGGCTGTTCTGTTTGTGTGGATTTCCGGAGGAGGAATCATTAGGTCAAGGGCTCTGCTTGGTTAGATCTCTGACTATTTGAAGCCCCTCTGACAGACTGTTCTTTAGAAAAGTGGCCACATTTCAAGTCCGGGGTGCAAGGTGTGATCTCCACATTTCTGGTTCGTCCTTGCAAAAACCCTTTAAGAAAGCCCCAGATTTGGGTAGTGACAAGAAGTTGGAGGCTTTTAGTGGCAGGTCCAAAACAGCCAGCTTTCCCTCTGGTGAAGGGACAGATGGCTGTTTCTTTGGCAATTAAGTAGTTGGCGTGTGTTTGGGGACCAGGCTGTACACGAAGTATGTATTGTTTAACACCAGAGTCATCACCCTCACGAGAGATGCTCCCACCACAAGGGGCAGAGGGGGTGGGATTCAGGACCCTCGCTCACACACCGTTTTGATGGTGATTTCTCCCTTTCCTTTTCTCCTCCAACTGGAGTGTGCTAGTTGAATTTGCTTTTAGTTGATTCATAAATCATGCAATCCTACCCTGGCTGGTGTGGCTCAGTGGGCTGGGTGCCAGCCTGCAAACTGGAAGGTCGCCGGTTCCCTTCCCAGTCAGGGTACGTGCCTGGGTTGCAGGCCAGGTCCCTGGTTGTGGGCGTGTAGGAGGCAATTTCTCCATGTATCTCTCACACATTGATGTTTCTCTCCCTCTCTTTCTCTTTCCCTTCCCCTCTCTCTAAAAATAAATAAATAAAATCTTTAAAAAAATTATGTAATCCCACTGGATTGTCTTAAATTCAAATGCCAGTTGGAAGGTAAGGGAGGTCCCCAGTTTTTCTGCCCATCCCAGGCAGCTTGGTCCCGGCCTGTGGCTAAACATCAGCATGAGCTCTCTGGGGCAATGGGTGCCTGGGATGTGAATGACTGGATCTCCATGTCTTGTCATTTTCTCTTTAAGCTCTGCTTCATCTGCAGGCTGGCGGGGAGGGAAGACCAAGCTGTTTGCATCTGTGCCTGCGGGTGGCCTGGAACATCAGTTACAATGAAAGGCCTAATCCTGGCAGGACTGACATTACCCAGCTGGTCTGTGTATTGGCCAGCTGGGCTTCTGTGGTAGATAATGCCGGAATCCCCAGTGCGGCCATCACAAACCCAGCACGATGGGGCAGGCCCGACAGTGTGGAGGACGCTGAGGTGTTCTCGGGTTCTCAGCCGGTTTTAGTAAATCAAGCTTTACTGGCCATGCGTAGTCGTTTAAGTATCACCTGTGGCCGCTTGCGTGTTACACAGCAGAGTTAAGTAAACATGGTGGGGACCATATGGCCCTCAAAGTCTAAAATATTTACCACCTGGTCCTTTATGGAAGACGCTGGCCGCCGACCCCTGCCTTAGCCAAACGTTGGCCAGGCCTTGGTGGCCAGTGTGGAGATGGTTGCCGATGCGTATGATGGTGTCCAGCGAGTGGACTGTGGCTCTGGGCCCTGCCCACAGAAGGAGGGCTGGGCTCTCTGCACCCAGACTTGAGGCCCCCTGCTCGGTGAGTACTGCATGTCCGTGGTCCTTCCCTGACGCGCCCCCTGTGTCCTCCCGCTCCCGCAGCATCCACTCGAGCATGCTGAAGGACGAGGCCGAGCCCCCTGCGGCGGGGGCGCCCCAGCTCCCTGAGGTCAGCCTGGGCCGCCTGGACTTCGATGTGTCTGACTTCTTCCTCTTCGGCTCACCCCTGGGCCTGGTCCTGGCCATGCGGAGGACGGTGCTGCCAGGGCTGGACGGTGGGTGTGGCTTGGCCTGGGGCCTGAGGGGCCTTGTGTCCTAGGCCTCTTCGTTAGCACCTCAAATCAGGGAGAGTGGGGGTGGGGGCAGGTTCGGGGAGGGCCCCAGAGTTGGGGGTGGTGGACGGAGAGAAGAAGAAGCAGGGGGAGGGAGAGGAGGAAGAGTGGGGTAGTTTCCCCAGGTGGAACAGAGCTGAGCTAGCCTCTGGTAGATTTCACTGTGAGTGTCATGTGTCCCCGGACGGTTTGTGGCCCTCTTCTTCAGCTGTCATGCTGTGCGGGAAGAGGAACTACCAGCATTTACCCTGTTGTACCCACCCCTGTGTCCCCAGTGTCCAGGTGGGCACACTGCAGCCCGGCCTGTGTTAGTGACCCTGGCACACAGCTAGGCTCACGCTGTGCCTCTGCTTGGGCAGTGCCCGCAGCCCTGAGTGCCATCCTCCACCCTCTAAAATGCACAGAGGCGATCTGCACCAGCAGGCCGTTAAGCAATGATTCTGAGAATGCAAGAGTCTGGAGGCACCTTGGAGATGAGCGGACCAGGGCTTCTCAAACTTGTACCGCAGCTTACCCGCGGCTTACAGTACAGAACAGAGAAACAGGGAGAGGCTCTGCTTGAAGTAGGGGGAGGAGGCAAAACCTCGCCGCTGCCCCCATGTCACTAGGGAGCCCTAGGGCTCCCTGGATGCTGGACAGTCCAGTCCCCAGAGGCAGAGGGACAGAGAAACGCACTGGTGAGGTGCCTCAGTGGAGACACCTGCTGGTCTGTGAGAGAAGTGTACTGCCGACTCAGGCAGAGACCTCTGCTGCTGGCCTAGGAATTGCGTGAGGGCTGGAGGAAGGGGCAGCTGATCTTGACGGAAAGACCTGCGGTCGGCTTCAGACATCAGATAGCAACTAGGTGAAAGCTGGAGAATTTATAGGAGTTTGACCAGTGGAGAGAGTGGAAGAAGGACCCACTGGAAGGAGGGGCAGTTTGAGCAAAGGCACAGGGAAGGGAACACAGCAAGATTGTCAGGGCGTGTTGGACGGTTGCCAGGGCAGCAGAGCTGGGTGCATAGGCTGGGAATGCCAAATCGAACCTGATGGTAGCAGGGAGCCATGGCATTTTCGAACAGAGGAGTAGGCCACTGAGAACTGCGCTAACAGAAGCCTTCTAAGGCCAGGGGAGCAGGTACCAGCAAGGGGCTTCCCCTGTGTATTCTCCCAGGATTCCAGGTGCGTCCCGCCTGCAGCCAGGTCTACAGCTTCTTCCACTGCGCAGACCCCTCTGCCTCACGGCTTGAGCCACTACTGGAGCCCAAGTTCCACCTGGTGCCTCCCGTCAGCGTGCCCCGCTACCAGAGGTTCCCACTGGGTGATGGACAGTCCCTCCTCCTTGGTAGGCTCCCAGGGGTGAGGGAGAGTGTGCTGAGCTGGAGGCTGGGCCCCAGCCAGGAGGCACTGCAGGGCCACCACCTCTGGTCTAGCCTTTCCAAGCTATCAGCCGATGGGGTGACTAGACCCAACTGAACAGGGGCCGTGTGCTCTGGGGGGCCAGAGCAGGCAAACAGCTCACTCACCTGCTTTCCGAGCAGCCCACCTGTGTGAGCACCTGCTCTGTAGGGGGCTTCTTGGGGCTCAGAGACCTAGGCTCTGCCTCCGGTGAGCTCCTGGCTAACCTCTCAGCCAGCATAATACTTGAGCTGTAAGACCTGATTGAGAGCCAAGGGGTCTAGCTGAGTGCTATTGCCCAGTGGCTAGCCTAGATTCTGGAGGTGCAGAGCAGGGAGTATCTCATCCTGGTTGGCTTCAAGGAAGAGGGGGCTTTTGACCAAAGCATTTGGACAGGTGTCGAAGAGCTGGAGGATGGGGGTTGGGGAAGATCTTCTAGGTGGAGGGAATAGCAGAAGCAAGAGCAGGTGGGTTTAGGAGATAGCCAGTGGCTTCTGGGGCTCAAGTGGGGTGAGCTGGGCATAAACTGGGATGAGGTAAGGGGAGGCCCCTAACAGACAGTCAGGGCTTGGAGGTGAGAGCCTTGGCTCCATGCACCAGAGCCTGTTCAGAGGTTTGGGGCCAGATTGCTGGCAGAGGTGGGGTGGGGGATGTGGCTCAGGATTAAAAACCAGCCCCAGCCCATTGTGATGAAAACTTAATTTCCAAAGTTCTGCTTTGTCAGGAGCCTCCTGACAAAGGCTTTAAAACCTCCCCCCCCCCAAAATGGGCCCCCGTTTGCTCAGGACACTCCTCTGCTCCCAGAGAGCACCCCGGCTCCCGGGCGGAGTCCCCATTTGCTTCTGGGCTCAGCCACAGTCCTTCGTAGCATAGGAGGGAAGTTCGATACAAGAGCACATGGTTATGGGCCACCCTGTAGCCTCGGCTAGGCCTTGAGGACACCCTCCCAGAGGCCCCTTGGCAGCTGTGTCAGGGGTAGGAGTGACGGTAGGGACCCCGACTTGTGCCTGCATAACCCACAACACAGAGGATGTGGAACCCAGCAATGCACCATGGTGGGTTCCGGAGGTGTGAGAGTGGGCAGGTCGCCTGTCAGGCAGGGGAGTGAGCAGGGCCGGGGGTGGGTTGTCTCTGAGCGCCCGGCCTCCTGCCCAGCATGGGGCTGGCACGGCATGGGTTGGGGGGCAAGGGGTGGCTCCATAGGAGGCGTGCTATTCAGTCCTGACTGTGAGATTCCCCCTCCAGCTGATGCCCTGCACACCCACAGCTCCCTCTTCCTGGAGGGCAGCTCCCAGGAAAGCCCGCCGATCATGGACGCCCCTGCCTCGCCCCCTCAGGCCCCGAGGTCCCAGCGCCGGGGGCGGAGGATGAGCCAGGGCAGCTCCCACAGTGATAGCTCAGAGTCCTCAGACAGCCTGGCCCCCGCTGGAGCCTCCCGCAGTGAGTGAGAGTCTTCTGGGGCCTTCCTTGGGACCCTCCTCTGGGTGGCTACTCGTCCACTGCCAGAGCTGCTGAGGGCAGGGGAGGAGGGCTAATGGAAATCCAGGCTGAACTCTGACCTCAGAGTGAACTTTGACCTTTGACTGTGGACTGAGCTATGACCTCTCCGGGCATAGACCAAGTTCTGACCTCAGCCAGAGCTGTGATCCCAATATTCAGGTTTCCCACTGGGAACCCTGGCCGACCAGCTGCCCTGGGGTGAGACTGTGGGTGCCCCCATGGGTCCCTGTTCCTGGGGACGAGTTGACAGCACATGTCCCCTCCTGGGGTGGGGCAGGAGGTGGGAAGGAAGCAACTTAGGTCCCAGAGCTCATTTTGAGCTGGGTGCTCAAACTCGTACCCCGAGCGGGACACCCACCACTGTGTCTGGTCAAGAGGGTCCTGCATGGCCCCTTGGGTACGGGCCCCAGGCTGGCTGCTCTGTCCTCACCCCCCTCTCGGCCCCGCAGTCACGGCCAGGTGGTGGGGCACCAAGCGCATCGACTACGCCCTGTACTGCCCTGAGGTCCTCACAGCCTTCCCCACCGTGGCGCTGCCCCACCTCTTCCATGCCAGCTACTGGGAATCCACGGACGTGGTGGCCTTCATCCTGAGACAGGTACTCGGCCCTTCCCGGGTTCCGCCTGCAGGGCCCCTAGGCAGGGCCCGGTCCTTCCGTGTCCGGAGAAGAGGCTTGCTCTGCAGGTCACGTCGGCCATTGGGAAGTCACTGGAGTCCTCAGCCAAGTGTATGTGTTGGGGGAGGGTTGGCACAGTCAGACAGTGGGTTTCATAAAGAGCACTGGCTTCCGGGTAATGGCCCGGTACTTTCCAGAACATTAAATAGAAACTACACAGGAGAATGTACCCATGTTTCAACTCGAAGACTGGAGTAATAAATGTCTGCTCCCCCGTGAGTCTCCATGTCCTCCGCTGTGAAAGGGGGCCAGTGACTGAGCAGAGCCTGGGGAAGAGGAGAGGTGCGGTGGTGGTGCAGCCTCCACGGCCAAGGTCAGGAGTTTGTTGTTATGCGGGGTCCAATCAGAAGCTCTTGCAGGATTTTGAAACAAGGAACAGATATCAGCTTACACGGATTTTTACAAGGAAGGCTCACTGCCATCTGGGGGAGAAGACATGAAGCCCGTTATAGGAAAGCATAGGAGCCCAAGTTCAAGATGGTGGCTTGGGCTGTTGTGCTGGCGGTGGAGGTGCTGAGGAGCTCGAGCTGGGCGAGGGTTTGCGTGGTGGTGACAGGACTCATTGGTGCCTGAGCTGCAAGGGAGAGGGGAGGCCAGCGGGTCCAGTTACACTTGAATACTTAGGGCCAGGAGAGAGCAGGGCTGGGGCGGGTGTGGCAGGAAGGTGAGATGCTGTGAGATGTTGAGAAGGAAGGTGAGTGGAAAGTCTGAAGCTTGGAGGAGATGCCAGGATAGAACGTGGGGTCATTGGTGCTTGGATCACATCTAAAGCCAGTGACGGGCACAATGCTCCGATTTTGACACCAGTTCCGAGGTGTGGCTTCTTCCCCACACCGTGCAGTTCAGCACCACCAGCCGGGTGTCTTACAGTTCAACTCAGATCCCACAGGGTAGTGGTTTAGACCCACAAGTGTGACCCCACCCCCCTCAGATGGCAATTGCAAGTCTAGGCTGTTACCCGGGCTTCTGACTGAGCGGAGGTTCCGATATACCCCCTCCTTGGGCTTGATAAACTTGCTAGAACTCTGTGAGCTGCTCTAGCAAATAAGGAGCATAAGGAGAATAAGGGGAAACATTTTCCTTGTTAGATTACTGGTTTATTATAAGAGGATGTAGCTCAGGAACAGCCAGATGGAAGAGATGCACGGAGCTTCCCTGACCTCTCTTGGGACGCTTCTCTCCCCGAATCTCACCTGCTCACCAGCCAGAAGCTCCGTGAACCTCCTTTTTGGAGGGTGTTTTATGGAGGTTTTATTACCTAAGCACGGCTGGTTAAATCCTTGGCCACGAGCGATGGGTCCAGCCTCCAGCTGCTCTCTGCTCTCTGGAGGTTAGTGGTTGGGACTGAAAGGTCAAACCCTCTCTTCACCTGATTGGGTCCCTTGGCAACCAGTCCCCCAAAATTACCTCATTAACATACCAAGAGACACTTTTGTTGCTCTCACCACTTAGAAGATTACAAGGGTTTTAGGAGCTCTGTGCCATAAATGGGCAAAAAACCCCCCCCCAAATATGTATTTCTTATGATGAATCCTAACACCACACCTAGCGAGGAAATTTCCATTGGGTAGAGAAGTTCAAGGATGAGCCTGCAGCCCCACAGGGAGACAAGAGTAGCACCAGAGGGAGGCGCCAGTCCCCCAGGGTCGGAGAAGACCTGAGGGAGGACGGATGGGACTGGACCTTTGACGGGCAGAACGGAGTCTGGGCGGGGCTGTGGCTTCAGTGGAGCCGTGGGGACAGAAGTGGGGACAGAAGCCCGACAGGGGTGGGCAGTGGGGGAGAGGCAGGTAGGGAGGGGGTGGCTGAGCTCGGCGTAGGGAGAGCAGAGAGGGGCGGTGGTCACTGGAGAGGCACTGAGGGTCCCAGGGAGGGTTTTCTTTTTTAGGGTGAGCACGATCACTGCATATTTTTATGCAAGCGAGAATGGTTTGGTGGCAAGGGACTAATCTGTCCCTTCAAGGGAGAGGGTAATGCTGCAGGAGCGATGATCTTGAGTGGGCAGGAGGGGCTGGGGTCAGGGCTTCAGCTGGCCTTCGGGGAGGGTCACCTCGGGTAGCGGGAGGGAAGGCAGAGAATGGGTACTGACTCAGGGAGCTGTTAAGTCTGGGTGCCAGGGCCAGAGTGCATTTGTGGGACTGTGCTCTGGCCCCGGCTGTCAGGACAGGTGGGCAGGGACGTGGGTCCTGGGGTCTCCAGCCTCCTGGGAGGTGGGGAGGCTCAGAAGAGGGCCTTCTGGTCACAGGCGGGTGGGCCCGACACCCTGGGAACGAGGGGAAGGGGCTGAGGTGGCCTGACCTGGAGCCCTGCCCGCCTCGGTCAGGTGATGCGCTACGAGAGCGCGCACGTCCAGGAGAGCACTGGCCTGGATCCCGCTGCACTGAGCCCCGCTAACCCCCGAGAGAAGTGGCTTCGTAAGAGGACCCAGGTCAAGCTGCGGGTATGTGCTGGTTGGAGTCACCTGCTGGTTGGGATGTGGGCTGGGGAGGTGGGGCTGCGCCTGGGGCAGGCGCAGGCCCTGGAAGGGCGAGGGGGATGGGCGCCCTGTGAATCGACTCTTTCTTTTGGATACATATAGTGAGATATAACTCGGGTTTTAATCATACAAGATACTCATTTAAAATTCAGTGGATTTCAGTGTACTCGCAGATGCACGCACCCTCACACCACAGTCAGTTTTAATGTTTCCATCAGCTCAGAAAGGAAGCTCCCTTCCCTTTGGCTGTCATCCCCGCCCCCGCCCCCGACCCTGAGCAACCAGTGATCTACCTTCTGTCGCTACAAACCTGCCCGTTCTGGACGTTTCATGTGCGTGGAACAACACTGACCACCTCCGTCGCCCCAGCAGTGCCGAGGGCCGGCCTTCCCCACCCCCTGGCCCGCACTCACCCCCCACCTCTGATTCCAGTCACCCTCGTGGGCCTGGGATGGCATCGTGCGTGCTTTTGGTTGGCATTGCCCTGATGACTGCTGAGGTCCAGCACCTTGCCACAGCTTTGCTTCCACGAATCAGCCCCTCCCGCTCCGTGTTCCTGCAAGGGGGCCGGTGTCCCGCACTGGACAGAGCAGGGTCTCCAGGGCAGGGTCAGTGACTGGTTCCTCTATGTCTACAAAGCCTGGCAAAGGGACCTGCAATGAGGCGACTGCAGATGTGTGTGGACTTGCTCCAAAACACCACAGGGCGGAGGGGAGGTAGAGCCCCCTTTGGGGGGCCCAGGCAGCGTTTCTGGGGGGACAAAGCTGAGCCAGCTCCCGGTGGAGGGGCTGAGTGCGGGTGCAGGAGGCCAGCAACGGCATGTGCAGTGGGGGCCCGGTGTGCGCCAAGGCCTGGGCGCTGCCACTGAGCCGGCCTGAGAGGCCGGAGGGGCTCCGAGGGCGGCAGCGGAACAAAAACTGAAAAGGTCGTCGGCAAGTCTTGGGTGCTGAGCTCGGGATTTGGGCTCCAGCCGGAGGGCGCTGGGTGTCAATGGCTTTGTGCTTTGTAGAGATGATGGGTCTGCCTTGGGGTCCGTTTCTGAATAAGGAGCTTCATTAAGAAGCTGTTGGCAGAGTGCAGGCAGGAGGTCACACAGGCGTGTGGGGAGATACCAGGCGGGCGGTTCTGTGAAGGAAGGGCCAGCCGAGGCCTTGGAGCCGCAGGTGAATTGAAACCAGAAGTGAAGAGGGGCGGGGGTGTTGGGATGGTTACAGGTAAAGTGAGGCGATGTCCGATGTCTGGAATGGCTCCAGAATCACCTGGGGTGGGGCTGGCGCGGGGACTCAGCAAGGGCAGGATGCTGCAGTGGCCGTGAGTGGCTGAGCGGAGGGGCTGGTGTTGGGCACACGAGACGTGGTTACACTGTTCCCTCTACTCTTGTACGTTTGAAACCTTCCGCTAAGAGCAGGCGGGTGGCAAATGGCTGTCGGGTGTGAGTAGGGGTGTGGAGGGAAGAGGCGAGGGTGAGAGTCGGTTTCCGGCCCAGGGAACAGGAGGATGACAAGCTGTGCAGACCAGAGGCTCCCCGGGGCCGTGGGGGAGAATCGAGAGCAGAGAACGGTCGCATTAGGGTCTAAGGGTCTGCTTTTCTCCCAGGTTCCATGGGCACACGCCTCAGAAGTGCTACAGGAGGTTAACAGGAAGGCATGACCAGGCAGCTCCACGCTGCCCGCCCCCCCAGTCCTAAGGACAGTGTAGTGCAAATGCAGGGCCCCGTGTGCCAAAGCTGAGCTGCTTTCTGTGCTTCTAGAACGTCACTGCTAACCACCGGGCCAACGACGTGATTGCTGCTGAAGACGGCCCCCAGGTCCTGGTGGGGCGGTTCATGTACGGGCCCCTCGATATGGTGGCGCTGACAGGAGAGAAGGTACAGAGGCTGGGCCGTCCCCTCCTTGACTGACCACAGGTGCACCGGGTACCGCGTGCCATGGCGGCGAGGACTCTGGGAGGGCCGAGCTGGGAGACACTTGCCTGGCCGGGGCAGGCCAGGGAGCGCACTCGGGGAGCAAGGGATGAACTCGGTGTGTGGGGGAGGCCGGTGTGGCTGCAGGGGAAAGAGAGAGGATGGGAGGGGCCAGGAAATGTCAGGCAGGACCCCACGCTCTGGCAGAGGGTTCCCTGGCCGAGCCCCTAAGCCAAGCCCACAGCCACCCACCGCCCCCAGCCGTCAGTGACTCAGTCCCCTGGCCACCTTGCTGCCTCCAGGTGGACATTCTGGTTATGGCGGAGCCATCCTCGGGCCGCTGGGTGCACCTGGACACGGAGATCACCAACAGCAGTGGCCGCATCACATACAGCGTGCCTCGGCCCCGGCGCCTGGGTGTGGGCGTCTACCCCGTCAAGATGGTCGTCAGGTGAGACCCAGCATACCTCTCGTGGTGGTCCCACCGTTTTCATGGCCCTCCCAGCCCAGCCTATCCAGACCACAGCATTCTTGGCGCTCTCTGTGGGGCCTCGTCCTGTCTGTGGGGACAGAGAGAAATGGACAGGTCGTCACCAGATTCTCTTCGGCCCTGGGCCCCAGACAGAGCTCCGCCCCCAGTGGTGCTGACCTCTGGCTTCAGGCCAACACCGGACCCGGAGCGCACGCTGACCCTGGGTGGTGCCTTCCAGGGGCGACCAGACCTGCGCGATGAGCTACCTCACGGTGCTGCCCCGTGGCATGGAGTGCGTGGTGTTCAGCATCGACGGGTCCTTTGCAGCCAGCGTGTCCATCATGGGAAGTGACCCTAAGGTCCGTCCAGGGGCAGTGGATGTTGTCCGGTGAGTGCTACCCCCTGCAAGGGACATGTCCCCCCTGAGCAGGGGCCAGCAGACCCAGGGGGCACGGCTGTGCTTCCTCTGGCTTCCTCCAGGAATTCCACTGGCCTCTGGGCCAGGAGTGGCGAGGCCTGGCTTCATCTCCGATGTTAAGTTACTGAGCATCCTTGGGGTCCAACCCGCCGCTTTCTAGACCCCGGCTCCTCATTTATTCTAACACTAGTGGAGCTCTCTCTGCAGTGAGCCAGTCCTGGTCTCTCGCATTCTGACCCCAATCAGGATGAAGTCGGCGTGTTCTGATGATCTCTTGCTGTGTAACAAATGGCTCCAAACTTAGCAACTTAACATAATAATTTATTATTCTGTCTCACGGTTCTGCAGATTGACTGGGTTCTTTGGAAAGGTTCTCATGTGAGGTCTCTCTAGCAACTTCAGTCAGAAGGGGGTCTGGGTTGGGGATCAGCTGGGCTCCACTCGGCAGGGTGGGTGTTCAAAAGGCCTGGCGTCTGAATGTGTCTGTTGGTCCTCTGGGTCACTCTGTCTCTCCCTGTCTCTCCACACGGCTGCTCCCTGGGCCTAGCCTGGGAGCTCTCAGACTACTCTGACATCCCCTGGCTCCTAGACACCCGCGTGGGAGCTGCAAGCTCCCTTATGACCCAGTCTCGGGAGTCACAGTGCCCTTTCCACCATGTTCCATTGGTTATAAGCTAGTCACAGGATCAGCCCAGATTTAAGGGCAAGGGGCCACACACAGGTCTGAGGACCTGTGGCTCGCTGAGGGGCCATCGTTTGACTCGAGCTAACGTGCAGTGCTAACTGAGAGATGAGAGCTATTCCAGCTGGTTGGAGAAAGCAGAGTGAGCTTCCTGGGAGAGGTGGCATTTGAGATAGCCCCTGAAGGAAGAATCTATATGTACGTATTTTCAATCATTCTATTGTACAAATATGAGCAAATGGAGAAAGGTAAAAAGGAGAACATTGATTGATTTAGACAGGCGGAGAAGGAGGACACAAGGTGGCAAGGTCAGGGAAGAGCAGAGCATGTGTGGGGAACAGGTGGGACAAGCTCAGGGAGGTTGGGCTTTGGAGGACAATTTAAGGCAGGGCAGGAGTGTGGCTGGAAACACAGCCTCCCAGGCTAGTGCACTGCCGAGAGGGGGAGGGGTGCAGAAGGTTTTGCCAACAGAAAAGCAAGAGGCGCCACTTTAGTTCCTCCTGCCCTCCTTGCCCCCTCTGCCCCTGCCCCCATCTGCCCCTTCCTAAGCCAGGCTCTGTGCTGGGCACTGGTGCAGAGAGAGACCCCAGTAGGAGGACTCTTACGGTGCTGAGGGGAAAGCAGTCACAGGCGTGGGAAACTGATCCAGGATTCCACGTGACCCGAAATCCCAAAACGGGACGGATCCTGGGTCCTGGGAGCTCCTGGTGCTGGGTAGGGCTGTCCTGCCTCACCCAGTCGTGGTGATTGCTCTGGGGAGGGAGGACGAGCCTGGCCAGGGGCCCCTAGGAGGCTGCTGACCTCATGAGGCCCAGTGGCCCTGTGGGGACAGGTCATGGACAGGCTCAATCTCATCTCAGGGGTCAACTTTCCCCCTGTAGGCTGGGCCGTTTATTCCCATTACAACATCTTCTCCCAACCCCTCCTGAGTCAGCAACCACAGCTGGGAAGGGAGGCTGTGGCTGGCCCTTCCTCTCTGGGGACCCTTCCAGTGCCCTCATCTCCTTCCTGTGGGCTCCTGGGGCCACTGCAAACCGTGCTGCTCCTCAGAAACTGCTTTTTGTCACCACCGATCACTGGACCCCACCTCGGAACTAACCAGGATCCCTGGGGGTGACACCTGGGCCTGTGCATTGTTACAAAACCTCCCCAAAGCTCTCAGGTCATCTTCTAGATTTGGAAGCGCCCACTCTTTAGTAGCTGGTTGGTGGCTAGTGCCACAAACTCCCAAACAGGTCTGGGCTTATCTGACTTCTTGCAGCCAGGATGCTGCGTGACGTCATCAGAGAGCACTTCCAGCCATGCTGTAAGAGCACAGAAAAAAGGGGCTGATTCTGCTTGGGAAGCAGGGAAGGCTTCCTGGAGGAGGGGGCCTAGAAAGATGGGAGGATGGGAACACAGGAGACAGAGCCATGAAGGCTGTCTAGGGGAGGCGTGTGCAGCAAGAATTGCACCACCATGCAGCTCCCTGTGACTGGGGTGGGGGTCAGGTTCGGGGACACAGCATGAGGAGAGAGTTTGTGACCTCAGGGCACCAGAGAGCCAGGGGATAGCTTTAGGCAAAGGAGTAATCCTGTTAGATTTGTGATTTACAAACATCACCATGGAAACGGTACAGGGGGTAATAGTAAAGCAACTGAATAGAGCACAGCATGCCAGGGACATTTGGGATTAATTCAATTCCTTCTTAGGATGACCTGCCTGGTGGTTGCTAGTATTATGCCCATTTCACAAAGGTGGAAACTGGAACCCTGAGGGTTGAGTAACTTGCCCAAGGTCTCAGGCCCCAGGTTGGGTTGCAGTGGGGGGAGTGGAGGCAAAGGGGCCTGCCAGGAGGCTCCTGTAGTGGCCCGGGTGAGGTACGGGGCCTGAGCCCAGAAGGGATTAAAGTGAGCGTGTGGAGGACAAGAGTAAAGATCCTGATGGGGAGGAAAGGGGAGGAATCCAAGGCGCTCACCGCTGGCTCCAGGAACTTGAATTCCATGGGCTGCATCACAGAGAAGGGGACATGAACAGAGGGGGCAGGAGTGGGGGTGGCAGTGCCTGTGTGCTCCAAGAGAGACATCCAGGACCCACAGGGCCCACCTGGGAATGTGGGTTCGAGGGTCCCTCTGGTTGTCCCTAGTGCCCCTTGGAGCAGTCCCTCCGGCTTCTCAGGGAGGCAGCTGGGCAGTGGGCAGCTGGCACTGGGCTGGGGCTGGGCTGGATGCTGCAATGCCCTCTCACCAGGCACTGGCAAGACCTGGGCTACATGATCCTCTACATCACGGGCCGGCCGGACATGCAGAAGCAGCGGGTGGTGTCGTGGCTGTCCCAGCACAACTTCCCACAGGGCATGATCTTCTTCTCGGATGGGCTGGTGCATGACCCACTGCGGCAGAAGGCCATCTTCCTCCGCAACCTCGTGCAGGAGGTCAGTGTCCGGCCCTGGGGTGGGGCTTCAGCCTGGGAGGGCGTGAGACCTCCAGGACACCCCTCCTCACTCCTTCCTTCCTCCCGCAACCCCAGCGGGCCCTCATCCATTTTCCCACCATCTCCCATCGTGCAAGCAGTGGCCAGTGTGCAAAGCACGTTCAGCAGATCTCAGTGGGCCCTTTATGACCCTCAGGGACAGGTGAGAAAGGTGAGGCTCACAACTTGCCCAGGATCTCAGAGTCAGACTTTCATCCTTCATCTCCCGACCCTGAAGCCCCCTCTTGTCTCTGCATTTGGTTGTTTGTTCAGCAGACACCGAAGTGCCTGTTGTGCTTTATGCCCTGTCCTCAGAGACAAACAGAAGGAGGCACATGTTCTTTGGAGCTTTGACCCAGAGCTGTGGTGTGGTTCTCACACTGTGTCCCCAGGCCCCCAGGCGCAGCACTCCTGGGAGCTCATTAGAAACGCAGATTCTCTGGCCCTCCCTCAGATCCACTGAACCCAAACCTCTGGGGAGGGGCCCAGCAATCTGTGTTTTATGCAACCCTCCAGAGGATTCCGGTGCTCACAACATTTTGAGAACCACCGAGCTAGAGCAGGGGCTGACAAACTCTGGCCTGGGGGCTAACCCTGGCCTGCAGCCTGTTTTATATGACCCCAAACTATAAGTGGTTTCTATACTTTTAAATGGTTGGTGGGGGGGGGAAATCAAGTGAAGAATAATATTCCCCGACATGTGAAAGATAGATGACACTGAAATTTCAGTCCATAAACAAAGCCTCGTTCCAGCACAGCCGTGCACATTCACTATGTGCTGTTCGTGGCTGCTTTTGAGCTGCAGTGGAACAGGTGCGGATCTGCAGCAGAGTGCTGAGCCCAAGACATTTATTGTGCTATCTGGTCTTTCACATGAAAAGTCTTCCAATCCCTGATCTAGAGGAGGAAGGACATGTAAATCCAGTGTAATTAGAAAAGGCCCATGGGCAAACAGGAGAAAGGACCTAGCTTTGCCTGGGGAGAGCAGGGAGGGCCTCTGGGAGGTGGGAACTTGTGAGCTGAGTGTTGAAGCACGAGTATGAGTTTGTCAGGTGGCCAAAGAAACAGCATGTGCAAAGGCCCTGAGGCAGGAAGAGCCTGGGATGTTCTCAGAGCTGTAGGATGAGGTGCAGGGTCAGACCCAGGCCACTTGTGAGCTGAGCCCCAGAGGTCTTCAGAGATCTGAGGTTGGCAGGTCTTGAAAACCTAGAAACCCGGCCCAGATCGTGAACTCTCTGCTGAGGGCAACAGGCAGCTGTGGAAGGGTTTACAGCCCCAGAAGAGCTTAAAGCGGCAGCGTCTCATTCGGGCTTTAGAGAAAGCCCCTTGCAGCTGTGCAGAGACCAGACTAGTGGGAAGAGCAGAGGCAGGGGGGTCAGTTAGGCAGCCTCTGCCCAGACAAGGGACAGGAAGATGAGCATCTGGGCGGCAGCCACGGGGTGGAGAGGAAGGCATGGGCAAGTCCAGGGGTAGAATTGTCAGAACTCCCCAGTGGTTTCGTGGAGGGAGTGAGGAGCTCTCTCCCTCTGTCTGGAGTAACCAGGAGGAGTCGAGGTGCTGTTAACCCAACTGACCGTGGTCTCCATGGAAGCAGAGCTGGTGTCTGTTTTGCCATCAGTACATTGCCAGCATCTCAGGCAACAATGACACAGGATGGGCAGCCAGAATACAGTGAACGAAATGAAAGGGGACCAGGCTGGAGGCAGATGGCCTCATTTGTGGACACACTGAGGCTTGCATGGCCATTGGAGTTGAGCTACGCCAGCCCCAGCTGAAGCAGGTCGATGGAGCCCTGGGAGGGGCAAGAAGGGGCTGCGCTGGGCCCCCAGGGAGCCAGAGGTGGAGTTGCACAGGAGCCACAGCTGGGTGGGGGGAGGCCAGGAGGGAGCAGCTTCCAGGTACCAGGGAGGAGGAGATGAGGTTTGGTGAAGAATGGTCTCAGGATGAAGGCTGGATGCTGATGACCTCAGTGAAGAAGGGTTGCCTCAGGGGGCTGAGGGGGCAGAAGCAGTGGGGGGCGGGCAGAGAAGGTGGGGCTCAGAGGGCAGTGTGGGTGGGACTGGACTCACAGGATGGAAGTTGCTGGAGTGAGCTGGGGTGAATCGGGGTGGGACAGAGAAGCTGCTCCTTCCTTTGGGCTGAAGGCAGGTTGGGGACGAGCTGACCAATGAGGAGATGGCAGGTGGGCCGAGGAAGCCCTCCCTTAGCTTGGACAACCAGGACTGGGTAGCAGCTCAGGGAGGGAAGTGAAAGTCGGGAGAGGTTTCTTTGGAGGGTTGGGCCAGAGCTGCCTGGTTCTCCAGAAGCTCCCTGCAGCCAGTTTATAGAGATGGAGAAGGCGGGTGTGGAGGAATCCCTGGCCGGGGTGGGAAGCAGGAGAGGGGCTGGAGAATGCAAGATGGAGGAGAGGGGACACACGGAGGCCTCGGGGAGGCCAGGCAGGGTGAGGAGGGGCGGGCCAGGAGAGGTGTGCAGGGGTGGATACCGCTGGGGAGGCTGGAAGAGACCCGGGAGGGAAGGAGCGGGGTCAACGTGGGAAAGCAACCATTCAGAGTTCAGAGGGGGTGGTACCCGGTTCAGTCTGGGAGGTGAAAGTCCCTGTGGACTTTAAAGAAGGTATCCTGGTGACGGTGGGACTTAGGAGGAAGCAAAGCTGTGACTTGGGGCCAGAAGTCTCCAGTGAACTTGGGGGAATGTGGGTGGGAGAGAAGAAGATGACATTGATGGGGGGGTTCACAGTGAGGAGCCCAAGATGGTGAGCGCTTTAAGCGAGATGGGGTTCCACCCCAAAGGTCTGGAGGTGACCCTGGAATGCCGGGCAGTTCTCTGAACTGGGACGAGGCTTCTGAGGAGGCACCAGGCTGGTGGGGTGTGCACAGCGCAGGGTTGGGTTGGAGACCAGACGTCCTGGCCCTGCGATGTGGAAACCTGGCACTCAGGCTCCTGGTCCACAAAGGGACGCTTTGCCCCATGGTTACATGACCTATGATATTGGACATCCGTGCTGGTCAGCTGACAGTGTGGGCTGGGGTGCAGGGCGGGGGTGGAGAGGGCAGGCCACTGCAGGCCAGGCCCCCCCTCGGGTTCTTTAGTGTGCAGTCTCCCGCGGGGCTCCCTAGGGGCCCTGTGGGGTGGTTTGACAGGCCTGCCTGTCCCTCCATGAGCTGCCCTGTGTTTCAGTGCTTCATCAAAATCAGCGCTGCCTACGGCTCCACGAAGGACATCTCTGTCTACAGCGTGCTGGGGCTGCCCCCCTCGCAGATCTTCATTGTGGGCCGGCCCACCAAGAAGTACCAAACTCAGTGCCAGGTGGGTGGAAGCTGGCTGGGGCTTACCGCAGGGGAAGGGTAAGAGGGAGTAGGTGGTTATTCCTTAATTTGTTCATTCCTTCATCTGCTTCATTCATTCAACAAATACTACGAGGCACCTGACTCGAAATGGGTTCTGTATTGGGAGCAGGGGAGAGAGAGTCCCTGGTGGAATCGGGTGTCATGTCATCCAGTCTAGTAGGGAGATGGAAAAACCTGTGGACAGTGACAGCACAGTGTGGCCAGAGCCGTCATAAGTGACAGGGGAGTGCAGAGGACTGTGGGGCCCCAGCCAGGAGCAGCTAAGCTGGATGCGGGCAAGGCTTGCTTCCGGGACTGTGAAGGAACTGTCCTAGAAGGGCCCGAGGTTGGAGAAGCAGTTATGACAGGCAGCAGCGAAAGCAAAGGTCAGGAGGTGACAGAGAACGTGTATATTCTGGGAACTGCAAGTGACAGCTTGTCTGAGTGTGATGTGGGAGGGTGCGGTGGGTGGTGGACAGCACTGAGCCCAGCTGGGACTCTGAGTCTCTGTGATGCAGAGAGGCCCTCAGGCTGCAGAGGGGAGGGGTGGGAGGAAGTGGCAGGGCAGTGGAAGAGAGGAGAGAAGTCGGAGGGTCTGCGGGGCATTTTCAGGCAGGATGGGCTGGATTTGGTCCCTAACGGGTCAGGTGTGCAGGATGAAGGGATGGAAAGGCAAGGATGGCACCCTGCTGCCGGCTTGGTGACCCGGTGCCATTGTGGACATTGAGAAGCAGCCTGAAGGAGATTGAAGGGAAGGTGATGATCTTTGAGGGCATGTTGAGTGTGAACTCAGAGTGACCAGCAGGTGAGGGTCAGAAGAGGGAGGAGCCCAGGGGGGGGATCCCTGGAGCAGCGCTGACCTCACACTTGAAATGCGCTTGCTTGCGGATCACGTGGGACCTTGTTTAAACAGAGATTCCAATTCTCTAGGTTTGCAGTGAGGCCTGGGTGGGAGTCTGCCTAACGGTGGTCCAGATCCCCACTTCCGGCAGCATCCGAGCACCCAGTGGGAAGGCGTGGCAAGCAGGGCGGCTGTGGGGGCCAGGAAATGGCTAAGTTCCATGGAGTAGAAGGTGGATGGTGGACGGGAGAGACTTACTTTATGGAATTTCAGTGAAAGTGACAAGGATGGGAGTTTCAGTCCCGTCTACAATCAGAGAGTCCTGGAACAACCCACGGGTACAGACAGAAGTGCTCAGTTGTCCAAAGCAGGAAGGGGAGGCTAGAATGCTAGTGGCTTTCCAGTTTCCTGGGGGCGCCATGGAGCATCTGGAGACCCCAGGGTGGCGCGTTGCCGAGAAAGGGTGGTGTTGGGGTGTGGGCAGCGGGCCCAGAGGCCTGCCCCTGACCTGCTGGCCTGACTCCTGTTCGCTCCACAGTTCCTGAGCGAGGGCTATGCTGTCCACCTGGCAGCCCTGGAAGCCAGCCACCGATCACGCCCCAAGAAGAACAACTCGCGGATGATCCTGCGCAAGGGCAGCTTCGGTCTGCACGCGCAGCCCGACTTCCTGCGGAAGCGCAACCACCTGCGCAGGACCCTGTCCGTGCAGCAGCCGGACCCGCCCGCCAACCCCAAGCCGGAGCGGGCCCAGAGCCAGCCGGAGTCCGACAAGGACCACGAGCGGCCCCTGCCGGCGCTCAGCTGGGCACGTGGGCCCCCGAAGTTTGAGTCGGTACCCTGAGGGCCGGGCTGTGCTCGGAGCAGGGGGGCCCTACCAGGCTGCTTGTGGGGACCAGAGGGGCTGCCTTCTCCCCAACACAGGCCTTTTCCTGCTTTTTCCCTCCCGTGTCTGTCCAACAGTGTCCGACCTCAGTGGGGAGGGACCCTACCCGGCCTTGGGGGGCTCCTTAGGCTGCAAGGAGGTGAGATGCCGGGGTCTCAGTGCAGCCACTGCTGCCTCCCCCGTGCCTGCGACTTCAGGCCCCAGTCAGGGCTGACGTCAGTGTCATCTGGGGTGCAGGCCTGCCAGGAGGTTTGACGAGTCAGTCTCCTTTCTGAGGAGTCAGCCTCCGGGCTTCTGCAGCAACGCTAGGCAGGCCCTAAAGGGAGAGGCCCCAGCCCAGGGGCCCACGGCGGTCGGCTTCCTGGCTGACAGGTGGAGAGGCGAGTGACGTTGGTGACATCCCGAGTCACCGTCTTGGGCCTGACTCTCCTATGGCAAAGTGGCCACTTTCTGGGAGTGAGAGGACGCCCCCTGGGCTCGTCCTGCGTTCAGGCGTCTGTCCACAGCCCAGAGTGGGGCGGGTCTGGTGCTGGCGGTCCATCCTCCCAAAGTCGTTCGTGTCTTGCCTTCTTGTCCTCAGAATCTTCACCATTCTTCTGTGGCCCTGGAGGACCTCTGTTCTCTCTGGAGTCCTGCCTGGGGCCCTCCCCTGTGAGGCTGCACCCTGGGCTGCGGCCTGGCTGGGCTAGCTGGGAGCCCTTGAGCCCATTGCTTGCTCTCTCTGGGCCTCACCTTCCTTATGTCATCCAGGGCTCTCTCCAGCTGCAATTAGATTGGTGTGAGTTTGTGACTCCTAGACTGTCCTGCTGGTCTACCCTCTGAGGCTTTTCAGGCCTAAGAGCTCCTCCGAGAGCCCCGTGAGCTCCACCTCCCCCACAGTCAGGGAGGTGGGCTGGGGGAGCAGTGATTGCCCCGCCACCTCAGAGGAAGCCCCTGGAGGTACGGGAAAGGGGCCCCGCTCCATGGACAGATTTATTTTGCACTGATGCCCGAAACCAGTGTCCCAGGGACAGAGATGTCCTCCCAGCGCGCACTGACCGGCTCCTCCTCCCCAGCTCTACCCAGACCGATTTCTCCCTTTTGGCACCTGGAAGATATAGAGCTGAGGTCCTGGAGTTTTGGGGGTTCATGTAGTTTTGGCTCAAACTGTTGTATTCTCGTTTCTTCCCTCCGCCACTCAGCTTGGTTTGGTGCCCATAACTTCCTCCTGGGCCATCCCGAGGTTGGTGGGGCTTAGCTCTCCTGGGGACCTTCAAAGCCTGTCCAGTGTCCTGGGCTTTGTTCTCCTGTAGCCCAGGCCAGCCTCTGAACCCCACCCCCAACCCTGAGGCAGCCTGGTTCTTTCAGCCCTGGCTCTGTGTCATGGGCCAGTCTGACCATGGGGCCCAGACATCTGTACACACAGCAGGCACCTGTGTCAGCTCAGTGTTGCTTCTGCTCAATGTCTACCTCTTGCAGTTCCCATGTGACCAGTGTCCTCCTCCATGGCAGCTGCTGGTGGGGGCGGCTGGCACCACTGGCAAATGGGGCACCCTGCCAGGGCCGGAGGGGTTCGGGCTCCCAGCCCCCAACCCTGCTCTCTCTACAAGAAATGTGTCTTCTCCAGTCTGCCCGGTCCTGCCACATCTGCCTGACAGACTGGTCCGCCGGTCTATGCTTCACTGTCAGTCCTGCATCTGCATCACAGCAGCGCCCAGTGCTGCTGGGGAGGGGCGATTGCCGGCCTCCTCTCTGGTCCCGCCTCCTGGTGGTTCGGTCGGTCTTTCTCAGCTCTCTGTAGGCACTGCTCATGTGGCATAGCCACCTCACCCCGAATCCTTCCCTTCCTTTCCGAAATATGCCTGGAATTACACCTGGGCAGACTTAATCTGATTCTCAGAAACTCCACCATCTCCTTTTTGCAGAAGCCACTGATGTGTTACTCTCTAGTGCTGAAATAATTAGCCTGAGATACTTCTCCTCTCGTCCGATCCCCTCTGCCTTTTCTGAGAACCCCAGGCTTGGATCAGGAGAGAGAGAGAGAGAGAGAGAGAGAGCGAGCACGAGCACACCAGGGCCCTGGGGAACTCTGAGTCCACAAGAGCAGGATTCTGTGATTGTGGGGGTTGGAGCTGGGGTGCAGGGCCTGGCAGGGGGGCCACACCCCTTCCCTTCTGGAGCCCTGGACTGGGGTTCTAAAGACTCACACCTGTGAGGCCGACGGGACACAGTGAGACCCTGTGAAGGTTCGCTGCAGATGCATCAGTGGGTGTGTGAGTACGCGTGTGCAGCTCTGTGCAGTGACTGGACTCAGAGCAGGGTTCAGGACTGCTTTCATGGCAACCGTAACCAACATGCACTTTCTCTGCTACTGGTTTGTTCAGTTCTGTGCGTCCGGTTATGTTGGAGAAAAACAAAGTCGTGTTGTTTCCTGGACGGGCTGCTGCCTGTCTCCACGCGGTTCTGTGACCCCGACTGGCTGTCTTCCAGAGGGCCCTTCCTTGGGAGCTGGAACACAGACCTCCCCGCCTGACCAAAGCCCCCTGTTTCTCACGTGGCATGTTTGTTGTTCTCGCCTGGTGGCTGTCCTGCAGGAGGGCCTGCCTGCCACCTCCCTCTCCGTTTGCCCTTTTGGGGGTCAGGGTGCAGCTGCAGCCAGTGCCTGCTCTACTGGCATCCTGGGTTTCTCCTGAAGAGCTTAACTCCTTCCTTAGGCTCCACAAAATGTTAAAAGTGAAAAAGGAGACTTTTCATGTATTTGGGTGAATGGTCCTCCTGCCTGGATAGTGGGCCAGAGAAAACAAACATGTTAGGGTCCCAGTATCCAGAAATTATGGGGAGTGGGTGGGCTCTCTGAAAGCTGGAAGGTGGGGTCTCCTGGCTTTCTAACTCCTTTGCCCACTTGGAGCCCATGCCCATGCCCAGAAGTGTCCTGCAGACCAAAGGTGGCACCAACGTTTAATGACAGCTGGGCCAGGGGCAGAGTCCAGCTGTGGCTTGGTTTTGCACAGATGCTCTGTGGCCCAGCCCAGGTGCAGCCCCACCTGGAGGGTGTCGCCCCAACCCCACCCCACCCCTGACTAACTGCGAAGGAGCCTCGCAGCTGACCCCGCCTTAAACAGCCAACTTTCCTGCCCAGCCCCGGGGGTTTGGGTGCCAAGTGCGCTGGAAACCTACTCTCTTTAGCTCAGCCACCAGAAGTCACCTCCCTCCTTCCGCTCCCTCTGGGCTCGGGAGGACTTTCTTAAAAATTATACTTAGGATTATGTGCAAGCAGCAAGGCCTGGTCTGGGTCCTGCTTTCTTTGCTAGGAAACCAAGAAGGTGGTTGGGAGAAATATCAGTTGAACCCCACTCTCGTGGGGGACAAGGAGTGGCAGGCGACACCAAGGAGGTGCAGGACAGGAGGGTGGTTCGCTCATGGGGACCCCTGCCCTCGGACCCCATGTCTTTTCTTTGTTTACTTGGTGGTGGCAGCCCGTCCGGTCTTGTCTGTGGTCTGACTGTTCCTAAGTGTGTGACTCTCAGTATTATCTGTGGTGGCTGGTTCTGTGGTGAAAAAGGTTTATTATATTCTTCATGGCTGCCTTGTACAAAATCCGTTAGAAACGAAAACATGAAATATCAGATTTCTAACAAGACAAAAACAGCATTATGGAGTTCAAAAGATTTTTACAACTGGTCTTGATTTTGATGTGAGCTGGTTTTTAACTCTCAAACATTGTCACCGAAATAAAAACCTTATTTGCCTTTAAAACGTGCTTTGCTCTGAATGAAGCTGAGAAGACTTTCCTGTCCCTCCCGTTCTCTTGGAGCTGGGGCTGGCTGCCTTGGATCAGGGTGGGTGAGGGGAACGGGCTTGGCTCCACACCGTAGACCGGAGCAGCGTGGGGGGTGGTGGTGACAGAGAAGAGGTGCCAACTATATAGAGAGAGTCTTTATTATGAAAAGCAAAGCTGCGGAGGAAAGTTACACACTGGTTTCTTTCTAATAAAATGACAAAGCAGATTTCTTAAATAACTTACGAAGGGCAGAAGCTGCTGTTGAGCAGAGCTGCTCCTCTCTGCCACCCACGGTGCTGAGAATAGAAATAGGTACCCGTGGGCCTCGGGTCCCAGAGCCGGAAAGTCTTTCCCACCCCTTCTTTTGGTACGGGGACATGGGCTGGCTCCCAATAGCCTGGGACACTGGTGAAACACGGAGTGACTCCTTGCAGACCCCATTCCTGGGTCCACAGCTCAGCGCTTTCAAATACCTTCTGTAGCCTGCACTTCGTGTTGTAAAAGGGACAACCATGAGGCTCAAGTTTGGGGTGCATCTCGAAGCTCAAAAGGGGAGCAGGATGATCAATCCCCCTACCCTTCCTGGGCCTCGCTGAGCCACTCTTGGGCTGGGGCAGGTGGTCGCTCTGGGCTCAGATGTGGCCAGATGTGGGGACTTCCTTCAGGAACTTGAGGGGAGCATGGACCCTAGGTATGGGGATGTAAGGGTGAGGTATGGCTTGCTTCCTGTAAGACAGAGCTCCGTTCATGCCCCTCATTGTGCTCAGGACAGGGGAAGCGAGGACACTTCCCCCCAGATGAGGGGCCGGAAGGTGGCGGGTTGGTAAGGAGAGCAGCTCCGGCTCCAAGGTGGCGGGAAGACTGAGCGCTTCCAACTCTGCTGGCCATCAGCTCTGTGGGTTTTTCCAGAAGACTCAGTTCTTTAACATGCCTCTAAATACTTGTATGCGCTCATGTAGGAGGAGGAGAGGAGGAAGCAGAGGACACTGAGAGAGATGCTCGGGTGGAGGGCATTACCTGAAGGTACTGTCCTCAGTCACGGATGAGAGACACGGTCATGTCACCGCTGGAGATGGGAAAGCAGGAGAGACAGATGCCACTGGGTGCTGCAGGCTCTGAGGGGCCCTCCCAGCTCAGGCCAGACAAGACCAGACCCGGCAGCATGGTAGGAACTTGGCACGCTCGCGTGTAGTCAAAGCTGACAGGGCCTGCCTAAGAGCCCGTTGCGGCCATGTACAAATGGCTCCAAGATAGGGCAGCTCTAGACCCAGGCTCTGCCCTCAGGAGGGGTCCTGGGCATACAGACCAGGAGCTGCAAGCAGCCATGCAGCTTCTCCCAATTCCATTGGTGGGCAGGGCATAAGGGAGCCATGGGGGGCACTGGAGGCAGGGCAGGCCTTTCAGGAACCAGGTACCCAGCCTGGTGAAGCTCCGGTGAAGCACAGGTGGGGGGTGGCCCAAGGCCCCGAGGACCACATGTATCCAGGGTGCATCCTAACCACTGCCCCGATCTGGGTCTTTTGTGCCTCCTCGTGTTGCAGATGAAGAGACGGAGGCTCACAGAAAGGGAGGGACTGGCCAGGGCCGCACGGTGGGCAGAAGCCAGAGGCCTGCCTGAAAAAGGACCCTCCCCACCATCTCGCTTTGAAGCCTGGGAGCCAGCTTACCTCTCTTCAGCCACGATGGCTGCATCTAGCTCTTGGGACAGCTTCTGGAGATGCTTGATTCCTGCCCCCACAGGCTCCAGGTCACTGTCAGACTCACTGAGCAGAAGAAAAAAGCCACAGGCACCAGTGATTAGTTGGAAATCTGTGGCAGGAGCCCCTTCCAACCCAGCACTGCAGCCTGGGGTCTGTGGGGGCTGGTCATCACCCTAGAACCTCTCTCCAGGGAGTAACATCAGAGCAACTTGGAGCAGCTGGCAGAGGACGGATGGATCAAGGCTCATGAGGTAAAGGTCAAGGGTAGGTGACCTTGCAAAAAAGTGAGCCCTGCTGTTCCCCTCTTGAGTCTCAGCCTCAAGATGGCTCCCCAACTGGCTCTTAGGCTCATTAGGAAGCTTGAGAGATTGTGACACAGCAAAGCTAAGCCCACCTCTTCCTTTTATAGGTGGGGAAACTGAGGCCCTGAGGACTTCCTCTGGTCCCTGACTAGCAGGGGACAGAGCTGGGACAGTACATGGATGTGACTGAGATCAGGGTGCTCCAGCAGCCCCAGGAGATGCTCAGAAGCCCCTGAGGCCTGTTCATGTTTTGGGGGCACGGTGCTCTTCCACTTACCTGGAGGAGCACAGGGGCTCTGTAGAGGAGTAGGGGCTCCGGAAGGCAGCCTCCCTCCTGGACCTCCGCAGCGGGTGGGCACGTGGGCCCACCTGGGTGGAGAGGCGGTGATACTCCCGATTCCAGGGGCCAGGAGTTGAATGGCCCAGGGTGGGGCCGGACAGCCGGCTGCTCCTCTGGCTCAGGCTGCGACCTGGGGGGCTGCTGCGCTTCTGTGTCTCTCTCTTCCTCCTCCTGCCTTTCCCCTGGGTTCCCACCAGCCACTTGGTGCCACTTTGGCAGGACTCCTGGATTCTCTGAGACAGGTACATGGGAATGTGAGCACAGACAAGCCAAGGGTGAGCCACTCTGGTCTCCAAGCCATCCCTCGGACCCTCCACCTGTCAGCTGTCCTACACACACAGGCAGCTTTTAGTTTCCAGGGTGAGGGGTGTGGGTGATGCCATGTGACCTGGGCTCACTGCAGGGACCCCGTTCAGAGCCTCAGGGTAGGGGTGTAGGGGTCAGCAGCAGAACCACTCTGGCTCGTAGAGACTCCTTTTGCCTAAATCCAAACCCTCTTTTGGGACACGGACTGACCCAGAGACTTAAGGGCAAAGCCTACCCCCCAGGACACTGTGAGGTAGGTTGTCCCCTGCTCCTGGTCTTACTCTATCCCATCCCCCACACTGATCAGGGATCCTTCTCAGGGGCTGTTCTGATCACGAGTCAGCTGCCCAGTCCATGGTTGCTCATCGCCCACAGGATCAAGGCCTAACTCTTGAGCCTTTCGCAGCAGCGGGGTGGCTGTGAAGGCTCTTCCTCAGTGGGGCTCTGGGCACTGGCAAACCAGAGTCCAGAGTCCTTACAGCAAGACACGGGTTACCCTGGGCGAATGATGTGACCTTGGACAGGTGACCTTGTCTCATCTGTGACCCCTGGGGATAAAACAGTCGTAAGGGTTCTTCTGGACAAGGGCTAACATTTGGCTCAGGGGCCAGAAACATCTTCCTCCTCCTATTACTTCAGATTCCCAATCAGACACTAAGGAGAACCCGCCTGCTGCCCCCAGTTCTCTCCTTGGAGGTCTCTTCACTCTCACGGCCCCTGTCCTTTCTAGGTGACACCTCCATACATCCCCTACTCCAGGTTCAAAGGCACAGCCACTTGGGAGTCCGTCTGCTGGACACTTCTCCCTGCCCACATGTCCCATCTGACACCAAACCCTCCCAAATCTATGTTCTGAGCAGCTCTTAAAGTTGCTCACTCCTCTGCAGTCCAGGCCTCCAAACTCTGCTCAGGGGAGAATCTGCTTCTAACTCCTTTTCCATCAAGTGGCTAAAGAGCAAGGTCTGATATGCTAATTCGACCTGATTCCTACCCGGTTGTAAGTTTTCCCACTGGCTCCCAAGATGACCAGTATCTCTTGGGAGTGTCTAAGCACCTTGGGCACGCTGGACCCCTCTCGCTGCCCTGCCCTGCCCTCTGGCCACTCCCAAACGAAGCTCCTGCTGCTCTCTTCAGTTTCTAGCGCTCCCTCAGCTCTGGGGCTGGACTCACACTATTCCACCTGTCTCACATGCTCCGCATTCTTCCCCTTTCTCGAGTGAGTTCCACGGAATCACCTCATCTGGGAAGCTTCACTGACTGTACTTGTTTTGGGGGCCCTCCCACCATTGGGTACTTGCTTGCAATTTCATCTGGGGATGATTTTTCCATGACACTGTTTTTATTCACTCACTCAATGATTTGTCGAGTGCCTACTAAATGCCAGGAACTATTTGTGGTGCTGGGAACACAGCACTGAACAAATAAAGCCCTTGTCTTTATGGAGTCTATGTGCTTGGGGGCCCCTTAGGGCAGCACTTGTCCAGCAGTTGACCTGGACGTGGTCAGCGTTACCTGGGACACGGCACCGAAGGCATTCTTAGCTGAGCGAGCTGCAGCTTGGAGGCCCTGCTGCCCTGGCTCTGGGGCTTCTAGGCGTTTCCAGGAGGGTCCTGCCCTCAGGTTGAGGCTGACTGTTCTCAGGGGCAGCCTCCTTTGAAACTGTCTGCAGAGAGAGCCTAGGGTTCCCCGGGGGGTCTCCAGATGGCCGGTCGCGGGCTGCACCTCATCCTCCTCCAGCTGCTCCTGGTCCTGCAGAGATCTCCTGCGAATGGAGGCCTCCACGCCTGGCCACCGAGAGGCCATCTGCCTGGCCAACGGTCTGTTCTGTCAGGCCGATCCTGGGGAGGAAGTCAAGAGGCAGGTCAGCAAGGCATCCTCCACCCCTTTCTCAAGCTCCACAGAGACCCTGGGTACAGGGGAAACAGGGTGGGGGTGCCCTTGGCAACTGTGGGTGTGAGGAGGGTGCTTCCTGAAAGGTGGGGACAGTCAGCGAGACCCAGAAGAGGGCAGAGGTTGAACAAGGCTGGTCAGCATTTTCTGTGGTCCCTTGCCGTGTCTAAAACATCTGTCTCTTCATCTCAGCCTCCTCTCCGACTTCGCCTCAGGTGGGGAGGGAGGCAGAGTTTGGATCAACCCCTCCTGGAGCCTCAGCAGTGAGCCCAGCAAAGGATCAGCGTCTTTCACAGCTCTCCCTCACCCAACGCGCTCCCGCCCAGACCCTGGCCGGTTGGCCAGAGTCCCCGATTTCCTCCTTGCAATACCCAGACCCCCCACATGCATGCCTGTCCTAGCTAGACACCCACTCGCCCCCGCGGTCCAGG